ATTTAATACTATATAATAATAATAAATAAATGATAACTAAATATAATATTAATTATTATTACATTGTTATTTATTATTAAAAACTGTTATATATTAATTTTATATTTATATTTTATATTTTAATTTTATAATCTATTTTCATTTAGGGTGAAAAAATTACTTGGTTTATTTTTGCTTTAATGACAAGAAAATAGCTCAAAATAATATATTTTTATATTTTTTATATTACATAAAAATTATATCTGTATATATTTAAATTTTATCATTCATTCATTCATTCATTCATATTCATTCACAGGAAGAGAGAGGAAACTACTATTTCTGTTAATTGGTCAGGAAGGAACAATTAACAGCTCATGCTGATAATATTAATTGATATACTGTCTATAATTAGCTTAGAGAAGACTCTGAAATCATAATTTGGGACACATTTACTTTACTTAAACAATAAAATACCATCATGTTTCACACACCTGCACCAGCCAATCAAATCACAGTGGACAAAACCAAGACCCGCCTACATTAATCCAGATTCAGTCACAATGTGAAAGCCAAATCTGAGCTGATGACTGAAAGGCTGAAGGTTCAAACTGCACGAGTTGATTTAAGAAAAATCACTATTAGGGCTGCTGATGAATCAAAGTATTAGATGAAATATAAATGAATGAGTAATAATAGAGTCGTCGTCATAGATCGCGGATGAAAGCTCATTAACGAAACAGCCAGAGGTCACTATACTGTCCTTCTGTGTGTCTGTTGTTCATGAATTAAACACGTCCCCTTGACGGGCAGCAGTACAGTAGTGGTTCACTGCTGAGACAGCATGCAGCCAGGACGACTGCTGACTCCACACATATTCCTTTACGTTCTGTCAAATCCAATGACATCTGAGCCCCACTGAGAAGGGGAAGCAATTTAAGACCCCCTTTGTGTGGCGTCTGACCCATTCAACTGTGTAAAATGTCAATGTAAACAGCCACTCGTCCTCTGTCTTCATCATTCAATGCTTCAGAGCCAAGGCTCACATATTCCAAAAACACAATGTTAATGCTGGCACCATGATGAAATTATGGCTGGCAATTCACTGTCACACAAAAATTATGATTACCAACTTAGCAGTGTTTGTTCATGACAATATGAAGCCTAGAAAACATACACCCAAGTCATTTATTAACACGGAACCAGGGCTAGTATAGGTAACAAAAACTAAAACCATAAAAAAAACAATTTACTTTAAATAAAATAATCTTTAAATGAGATAAAATAGGTTATAAAAACTTTATTTTATTCCAGATAGTTCGAATATGTTTCACACTTTTTAGACAGAATTCAAACAGAAGATAGCACTGCAAATAACCCTAGGTTAATAATATTTGAATCACTTTTCTGACCCTAGGTTACACAACATTTCACACTTGTATTTAGTCAGAGGATAGTACTGTAATTTGACCCTAGATTATCATTATTGTAATTACTTCTAACTCTGGGCTAAACAATGTTTCACATTTGTATTTAGAGGTTAGCACTGCATTTAACCCTGGGTTAACATTATTTTAACCCAATGATGTGGTCACATTTAACCCTAGGTTAACATTATTATGAGCCTGTGATGAAGTCAATTTTAACCCTGGGTTAACATTATTTTAACCCTGTGATGAAATCACATTTAACCCTGGGTTAACATTATTTTAACCCTGTGATGAGATCACATTTAACCCTGGGTTAACATTATTTTAACCCTTTGATAAGGCTGCTGATGTCACTTTTAACCCTGGGCTAACATTAGTTTAACACTGTGATGAGGCCATTTTTAACCCTGGGTTAACACTATTTTACCCACTAGCTGCCAAGGCAACATTTCTTATTTTCATTCAGTTTAACTTGCTCTGCTAAAATAACTAAAACAAAAACTAAAATAAAAATATTTTACACGTTCACTCTAAAATTCCCTCATTTTGATGGTAATTTGTAATTTGACTTAAAGTGCATAATGTGGTTATCTTAAATAATCACTATTATAATTATGTCAGACCTAATTTGGACAGAATTAATTGCACAAGAGCTAAGAACCCCTTTAATTATAAACACATTATCTCTAAGGGCTTTCTGAACTTAATGGGTTTGTTTCAACCGACTCCAGATATTTTAGAAACAGAAGAGGGTCATCTTCATTTAAATGCTCATGATCTTTGGGTTTGTTTCCAGATCTTTGTTGTATCTGTTTATCTTACTAGCAATAAACGCTAGAAACAAACACGCTCCGAGCAGAAGATGATCTCAACATGAGCCACTATAAACAGGGATTTCCATCAGAGCAAGATGGAGAGACAGGGCTCAGAGGACTCAAACTTCTTCTGAAATGATTCAGGAAACCCTCCATCCCCCCTGAGGGAGTTCAGACACCGGGTTTCCAGTGAAAATCTATCTGCTCCATCCTCCAGTGGGGGCTTGTGGTTCAGATACCAGCAGAATCACACCTCACGCTCACATACAGACGCTTTTGTGTCAATGTGCATTTGATCGTTGTGTTGAAAGGGAGGGATGGTTTTGAAATGAAAGCACTGGCTCCTACGCTCTTATGAGGACAGCAAAGCACCCAGATGTTTGACCAGGGTCATGGATTACAGGGGGTCAGGCTGTTTAACACTAAGTAAACATTATATTAACCCTGTGATGAGATCATCTTTAACCTGGGGTTAAACTACATTTCACACTTGTATTTAGGCAGGACATCGCATTGCAATTAGGTTATTATTATTTTAATCACTTCTAACCCTGGGTTAAACAATTTTTCACAATTTTATTTAGACAGAGGTTAGCACTGTTTAACCCTGGGTCAGCATTATTTCAACCCTATGCTCATGTTATTTTTAACACTGCCTTAACAATATTTTAACCCTGTGCTGACTCCACGTTTAACCCTGGGCTAACACTGTTGTATCCATGTGATGAGGTCACTTTTAACCCTGAGTTAAAATTATTTTAATCCTTTGATGAGGTCACTTTTAACCCTGGGTTAACATTATTTTAATTCTTTGATGAGGTCACTTTTAACCCTGGGTTAAAATTATTTTAATCCTTTGATGAGGTCACTTTTAACCCTGGGTTAACATTATTTTAATTCTTTGATGAGGTCACTTTTAACCCTGGGTTAAAATTATTTTAATCCTTTGATGAGGTCACTTTTAACCCTGGGTTAACATTATTTTAATTCTTTGATGAGGTCACTTTTAACCCTGGGTTAAAATTATTTTAATCCTTTGATGAGGTCACTTTTAACCCTGGGTTAATATTATTTTAACCATGTGATGAAGTCACTTTTAACCCTGGGTTAACATTATTTTAATCATGTGATGAAGTCACTTTTAACCCTGGGTTAACATTATTTTAATCCTCTGATGAGGTCACTTTTAACCCTGGGTTAATATTATTTTAACCATGTGATGAAGTCACTTTTAACCCTGGGTTAACATTATTTCAATCCTTTGATGAGGTCACTTTTAACCGTTGGTTAAAACAAGTTTAACCCTATGCTGATGTCACTTTTAACCGTGGATTAAACAATGTTGTATTTAACCACTTGTATTTAGGCCAAGGTCAGCAGTGTGTTTAACCCAGATTTAATATTATTTTAAACCTGTTCTGATGTCACATTTAACCCTGGGTTAACATTAATTTAACCACATGATGAGGTCATTTTTAACCCTGGGTTGACATCACTTTTAACCCTGGATTAAACAATGTCTACCACTTGCATTTAGGCAAAGGTTAACATTATTCTAACCCTGTGATGAAGTCACTTTTAACCCTGTGTTAAACAATATTTTACACTTATATTTAGATTTTTTGGTCTTAGATAATGTTACTGGTCATGAGAGATATTAACTTACATGTATCCATAAGGGCATGTCTTGCTGCAGGTCATGGGGCGACACTTTGGTGCGGCTACACTACATTCACACACTTCACAACCATAGCTGTCTTTCTCATAACCCATGGGACACTCCAGAGAGCAGTGCGTGGACACATCAGGACAGGTTTCATCTGAAAACCACAAACATTTACATATGAAAGATGATCAGTGAACAGTCAAACTTAGGTCAAACTTATTTGTATTTCACACTTCTATTTAGACAGAGGTTAGCACTACATTTAACCCTGTCTTAACACTATTTTAACCCTGTGCTGAGGTCACTTTTAACCCTGAGTTAAAGAACATCTCACATTTGTATTTAGAGAGAAGTTAGCACTACATTTAACTCTGGCTTAGCACTATTTTTACCCTGTGCTAATGTCACTTTTAACCCCGGGTCAACATTATTTGAACCCCATGATGACATCACTTTTAACCCTGGGTTAAACTACATCTCACATTTGTATTTAGACAGAAGTTAGCACTACATTTAACCCTGGCTTAACACTATTTTAAGCCTGTGCTGAGGTCACTTTTAACCCTGGGTCAACATTATTTTAACCCCGGGTCAACACTATTTGAACCCTGTTCTGAGGTCAATTTTAACCCTGGGTTAAAGAACATCTCACATGTGTATTTAGATAGAAGTTAGCACTACATTTAACTCTGGCTTAACACTATTTTTACCCTGTGCTAACGTCACTTTTAACCCCGGGTCAACATTATTTTAACACCATGATGACGTCACTTTTAACCCTGGGTTAAACAACCTTTTTAGACAGAGGTTAGCACTACATAACCCTGGCTTAACACTATTTTAACCCTATGATTAGGTTAATCTTAACCCTGGGTTAACATTATTTTAACCCTGTCATAAGAGAAACACAGAAAGTCAGCTAATGTAAAAGCTGTTAAAAGTGTGTACCTCTGTTTCATGCATATAAATTCAAATCTAGTTATTTTTTTGCAAAACTTTCGATGCTGCTAGTGGTGAAGAAACCTTAAACTGTTACATGTTTTCTAAAAAACTACACATTATGATTTGGAGCGGATTACAATCCCATGAGCTCCATGATGCCCAAACGTCCTACTGACCTCTGATACTGACTTCAATTCACATGGGAAAAACTTTCAGATTCATTTCAGTCATGGGGAGGATTGTGCAGATTTGTGAGGTGGATTTGAGTCTGAGATCATTATTTCTTGGACAGGCTCCATATGTCCAGAGTCAATGTTTGCTTGTGTTGCGGGCCGTTGGCACTTTCTCAAACATAGACTTGGGAGTATTTTGGAGCGGTCTGCACGCAACACAGTTCTCAAGGGTTTGTGTGTGTGTGTGTGTGTGTGTGTGTGTTTGCACTCACTGCTGACACACTGGCATAGCAGACAGCCGCTGGGGTCTTGCTGGAAGCCAAATGGGCAGTCATGCCCAGAGAGAGAGCAGTTTTCCAACGGTGGGCAGAGCAGCGGGCTCACCGTCTCATATGATGGCTCTAGAAGAGAAAGTTAGTTAGTTCCTGTTTTTTTTTCAGCAATATACATCTCTATCAGAAAGATGAAAAACAGGAAACATCTCAGATAGCTCAAATCTGCAGACTGAAGTGCATGAAAGATCTGCAGTTGGTTTATGGTTTACAAAGCAAGTGTTTATGCTTACCATGGCTGCATTTATTTGATCAAAAATACAGTAGAAACAGTAATATTGTGAAAAATTATTACTTAAAATTATTATAATTTAAAATAGCTGTTTTCTATGGTAATATATTGTAAAATGTAATTTATTCCTGTGATGCATTACTCCAGCCTTCCACATATTTTTGTGGAAACTGTGATACATTTTATTTTTCAGGATTCTTAAAATAGAATTATTAAAAAAAAAAAAAAAAAATTTAAATTGACATTCCCACATGGTTGCGTATTATATAAACTATTCTTAATTGAACATTTAACAAAAATAACTCTTGATCCCGCCTAACAAAAATATGTTCTAAGAACATTTCACTAATATTCCCATTATGATATGAAAACATTATTTCTGAATATTCTCTGAACATACAAAACGTAGTTTTTAAAACATTTTTTTCCTTTGTAAAGCAAACATTAATGGAATGTTTAGCATTTTATCATTTTGCAAACATTATGGGAATGTTACTTTTGAATGTTCTAAAAAAAACATTCTGAAAAAGTAGCAACATTTAAAAAACATTATACGAACGTTCAACTAAAATGTTTCCATGAATGATGTATAAACAACATTTTGAGAACATTATTAAAGACTCAATAACTCTGAACAAACATTCTATTAATGTTACTGGAAGAGTGTTTGTTCACTTTTAAATAACCTTTAAAACTTTAAAATAACTTTTCCAGAAGGTTCCCTGTTAGCTGGGATATATATTGTTTCTGACACGTAAACAACTCATACTGGGAAATACTAATTTGGTCATACCACCCACTGCTAGTTCACATTATCCAATAGCTCCTATATTTTAATTATACAGACATTTTTCTTCAGAACAGCATGCACTGATTAGATTCACAAAAAGGGACATAAATTAAGGATTTAAAGAGATTGATTTCACATCGACTGTTTTACAGCTGTGATGCAAACTCAGATGTTTCTGTTAAATGCATCCTCATGTGCTCAATGTGTTGCAAGAAGTGCGTGTTGAAGTGAAACTTCAGAGTCATCTGTTGTTTGGCTCCGATCATGTGAGCCGCTCCTGGGGTTGTTTGCTCCAAGCGCATCCGTACAGTGCAGTTTAACTGCAAACAGAAGTGTCCGGTTTGCATCGATTACACATAAACACAGCCGCAATTACCGTGCAGCGATCCTCCTAATCCGACAGCCGTGAAGAACGGGTTTTGTTTAAAGTTGCCTCACGAAGCAAAAGTAGCATCAACAAACTGCTTTTCTGATTTCTTCTGTCACCTCAAAATCATAGCAAAACAAGGTGCATTTGTCGAGAGCAACACATGTGCAAGCATCAATTGCAACCATGTTGGCACGTACGGAGCTAAAGAGGTGTGACTAATTATTCTTCCAGAAAATAATAATGTGTAATTAAGGACAGCAGGTGGCTTCCATTTGGCTGCTTGGAGCAGTAAAAGGTAAAGCCTCTGTAGTCCGCAGACGCCTGCTGCTCGACGCTGTTGAGCACACGTAAGTGGAACGCCAGTCTGAGCTTTAATAGGCTGTGTGCACGCGCGTGTGTGTGTGTGTGTGTGTGTGTGTGTGTGTTTCAAGAGCTCAAGATACAATAAACCTCTGGCAATATCTGCATCCACCACTAAACAGAGACAGATTGCAGCCTGCAGCAGGAACTTAACCTGCGCTTCCATTACAGCCTTTCAACATGTATATTCAGGTATGTATGTGTGTGTGTGTATATTTATATATAAGATAAAGATATATATTTAAAGTATAAGTGTGTGTATACACACGCACACATATAATGCACACATATAATAACAATATAAAACATATATTTCTTAGCACACATACATCTCAAAAGCAAACACCTTTGGCATAATATTAATTCCTGTTAGATTTGTGTGTGTTACATAGATAATCGTGTTCTGTGTTTTGCAAAAAGTGTTTTATGAAATTGAAAAGGCTGAGAATTAATGTCTGGTTTTGCAGATTTGGTGTGTGCTTCTGCTGTTTGAGTGTCAGCTTTCAGAAACTGTGTGACAACTAAAAATAAAATGATTAAAAACCAAATTAGAAAAAATAGATGTAAATATAATAGTAGAAATAGATAATAATATAAATATTTAAAAACGCACATAACTTACAAAACTTAAGCTAAAATTTAAATAAAACTGCAAATATAAAACTAAAAGCTAATTCAAAATATGAATAAATACTAGAATAGCACATGAACAATACTAAAATGTCACTGTGTGTGACAAGAATGAATAGAAATTCACTGGTTATGATTTCAGAGCAGAATATATTCAAGCTCAAAGGACCATCTGTATGATCATAACACAGGTGAGTGTCACTGAAAGCACAAATATGATCTGTTGACACGGTTTGTCCCACAGAAACTGTATGAGTTTGACCTTTGACCCTCAGGAGCAGAAGGTCACAGCTGTAAGTGCACAGATCTGAGTCTGTCTGATGAAAGACGTGTGGACAGAAACCGTCAGTAACCGTATGTTTGAAGAGTGTCAGGTTTGTGTGTTTGTTGGTTTTTACTCACGGTCAGTTTTTTCACTTTGCATAACTCATCACAGTTTATCTTTAAATGCAATCAAGCATAGCAGACCGATCTAAGATGAAACCATCAGCTTATTTTCTAAATTTCTAATGTTTTCAACTGTTAATCATTTCCAAACAGGTTTAACCTTACACTAGAACTCAACACCGATTACTGTCCAAACACTTCATCACTTGAATTAAGATTATAATAATTTAATTTTAAAGCACAGCCACCACATGTAAGCAGTTGAAAAAAACTGTAAATGCATGATACATTTAAGCAAGTAATGCATAATTTATGCATTACAATTATTTTTTTGTTATATTAGAATATGCTTTATGAAAAAACTTGAGCTGCTAATTAATAAAGTTAAATGGCCACAGGTACTGATAATACAGATATCTTTCTGGCTCTGTCTACTGTGAGGTCATTTCCTGTTTGCCGCTGGGTCAGAACCCCCGCTGAAGGGTTGTGACCTTTGTGACTTTATTTTGAATAGTTGGAATATCTTGATCATCATATCAGTGAAGTGTCGACATGTCTGTATTCACACTTGATGTGGGAAATAATGAATTCTCAAGTGTTTGTTCAAAAGCCGGATGAATACACATATGTCAGCAGTGTATGTATGTGAGAGAGAGAGAGAGTGTGTGTGCGCGTGTTTTTGGGACATATGAGGACACAAATTTGTATAATGACATGGGTATGGCAGGTATTACAAGGAGAAGGTGACTTATGAGGACATTACCCCATGTCCCCATTTTTCAAAACGCTTATAAATCATACAGAGTGAGGTTTTTTGAGAAAGTAAAAATGCAGAAAGTTTCCTGTAAGGGGTAGGTTTAGGTGTAGGGTTGGTGTAGGGCAATAGCATCACTTGAATTAAGATTATAATAATTTAATTTTAAAGCACAGCCACCACAAAATCAGACTTTAACACCTCTTTTAATTCTGAGATCGTTCTGAGATTAAATACAGATTTTAAATCATAACAAGAAATAGTTTAATAGCTATGATACTGTTTTTGAGATCAAATCATTTGCATAGTTATGACAGGAAACACTGGCATCTAACAATGCCTTGGGAAAAAAAAAAAAGTTAACCTTAAAACATAAAGCATATACATAATTGGAAATAAAACAGTTATGGAATAAGCATGTGCCCTAAACTCCTGAAACATTGTCTCAATGCAGTTTATGAAACAAATCAATTAAACCTGTATGTGGATGTGTGTGTGAAAAAAAAATTCAGATCGTTAACATTTTCTCTCAGTAACTGTAACTGATTACAATTACATTTATTTTGTAATTATTTAGTTGCATGTAACCAGTTACTTCCCAACACTGCTGGTTATAAAATGCATGCATTTAATGAATGCTGAAGCTGTTCAGTACCTATACAGACGGGACAGCATTCTCCTTCAGGAACGTAGAAGTTCTGGCAGTCCATCTCTGTGCATTCGGCTTTAGAGCAGAAGGACACTCCACCTCGACACTGACACAGCCAGCAGGGGTCCATACGGTACACCTCGCCCTCCCTAAACTCCTTCCCGTTATGAACACACCTGGGAGAAACTACACAACAAAACAGCATTTTCAATTAGGGATGTAACGATTCACTCAACTCACGATTCGATTCGATTCACGGTTTTATTTTATTTTTTACAAAATGAGATTTAAGACAAATTATAAATTAAATGTGTCCTTTTATTATTGCTTGGACAAAATGCTGCACATTTCTTTGTGAAATTGAAATATAACACTATAATAATATACTAATATAGCACTTGCATATTATTGCTCTTT